TAATAAAATAAAAATAAGTTCCATCAGCATTAGCTCTGTCCTGTCTATATCTGTAGCCTTCAACCAATATAATAATAATAACCTTCCCGTTCTGTGATTCGATCTTCTCCACGTTACTTGGGTTAGAAATATTTTCAAACTGCATTCATGACATATTAACCATAATATATAATTAAAGACGTTGTTCTCTCGCCGATTGTTTAATTAAAACAAGTGTTAACCATGTCCTATTCGTTAAGCGTACAACATGTGTTTTTTTAATTGACTGCGCTCTTTTGTCGTGCGCTCTTTTGACGGGTCATCTCCCCTTTTATACCTTACATTATCTCCCCTTACGTCAATGAGCGATCTCACAAAAGCATGGAAAAAAACACGACGAGTCGCTCAGACAGTCCTTCTGTTGGCCAGGTACTCTACATTCATGCAACTTCATGTAAAACACAATATAATAACCATACCCAATAATACAGCCTATTACAGACACCAGTGGCAACAACCGACATGGCTAACCCCACTTTTACACACCCCCCCACACACACACACACAAACACACACACACACATACACACACAACATAACCCACTTGTCCTATTCTGTGTCACCACCATACATGTGACGTAAGATGTACTTAATTAAGTAGTTGATTAAAAGTTGGCAGTCGTTTATTTTGGTGCTCCCTACCTGGATGACGTCACGTCCACCCCCCCCCCCCCCCACCCGGTTACACTGCTGTCTGATACGTTTGTGTCACCTTTTCTTCGTGCTTCCATTCTGCCTGATCTATATCTGTCTTCATTTTGCCTGATCTATATTTGAGATCTTCATTTTGCCTGATCTATATCTGAGGTCTTCATTTTGCCTGATCTATATCTGAGGTCTTCATTTTGCCTGATCTATATCTGTCTTCATTTTGCCTGATCTATATTTGAGATCTTCATTTTGCCTGATCTATATTTGAGGTCTTCATTTTGCCTGATCTATATCTGTCTTCATTTTGCTTGATCTATATTTGAGATCTTAATTTTGCCTGATCTATATCTTTCTTCATTTTGCCTGATCTATATCTTTCTTCATTTTGCCTGATCTATATTTGAGATCTTCATTTTGCCTGATCTATATTTGAGATCTTCATTTTGCCTGATCTATATTTGAGGTCTTCATTTTGCCTGATCTATATCCAAAATTTTCATTTTTCATGATCTGTTTCTGAGGTCTTCATTTTTCCTGATCTATATCTGACATTTTCATTTTGCCTGATCTGTATCTAAGGGCAATGATTCATTTGTTGCAAAGCTGCCACTTAAGCCTTCATTCAATATTTTTTTTATTATTATAGAGTGATTTTTATGTTTTCAACATACTGTTTTATTGATTGTTTAATAATGGTTTACTTGTAAGCCTACTGTCATATTTGGCATAGCTTACACTACAGATGAGTAGGTTCTAGGAGATCTATGCCATACATTTTTATTCTAAAATTTCTTGTTGCAAGCCACAATTTAAAATGTTTTTAATTTTTCTTTTTATTAAAATTGAATTTATGACTAAGTCTAAGTTACGCGATTCTTAATTCCTCAGGTTACTAGTGAGAAAATTGTTCAAGTGGACTTACATCCCTTTCTTACACAGTCACAGTTGGAAAATGGCTTTGAATTAGACTGGTTCAAGTCAGAACATGAGGCGGTATGTAGAATACAAGCTTTAACAAGTCACAATGTATGGACTTAGATATCTCATTTTTTTACCGATTTCATTCATTATAATTTCATTCTAACTTCGCACATCTCCAGTGACTAAATAGATACCAATAACTTGGTTCTATCTACCTATAAAATAAACCGGGAGTGATCTCCCCTAAACTTTCTCGAATATTCTTATGTAACACTTCGGAATATAGACATGATTTTTAATTACTTAAACTTTTGAAAATAGAATAGAATCTCGTAGAAAAAAGAATTACGCACCAAGCGAACGCCAAAACAAAATGTGCATAATAGTGCGCAATATTATTAGTACTTTATAAATTTACATGTTTTTTTTTTAGAAATTGGAAATAACGTAAATTACTACTTCCGGTCAACGGAAATTACTCAAAATTTGAAAGAAGGTAGAGAATTAGATCTTTTACTTATGTGTGAAATTTTATTTATCTATCTGAAATAGTGCTCAAGTTATAGGCTTTTGGAAAATTCAAAGTAGAAAAAGTACCACTTCCGTTTATCGGAAATCGCTCAAAAGTTGATACGGATCTACGATTTTGATAAAATTTTTATATATGAAATTTCATCAACCTAGCTGTAGCGGTACTCAAGTTATCGTGTTAACACACAGACACACACACACAGACACACACACACAGACACACGGACAAGTTTGCAAAATTATGTTTTTCCGTATCAGTGAGGTATAAAATGTCTATATTTGTAAAAATCTCGATTTTTTTTTTTTGCACGATTACAAGACTTTCTCTACACTTCGTGTATACAAGAAAGTTAAAAATTAGGGCCTACTCAGAACCTTTTTAATCTGGAATATAAGGTGATGAAATATCTAATTTTGAATATAATTGGGTGTGAAATTAGTCATTAAAAAGAATTTAAAGAATACTGTAATAACTGAGACAAATAGGAAAATTAACATTTTGAAGAAGCCAGGTGGATTTGGTGATGGACAGTAATAAAAGGGAGATAATTAGATAATGCTCTTGTTTAGTGGCAGATTTTAAAAGGCAGTATATTAAGATCAAGATATTAGTGAATATTTTCAGAGATGTACATATTTTATTTATCTAGGATTTTGCAATATCAGATCTAGAGGATAATTAAATACAGAATGACTTGTGTCACACATTGAATTGTTGAGTAATACAAATTAATTTACAATACAATTCCCACATGCTTATTTATAATTTTAACCCTATTGAGGATTGAAATTCTTGTGTAAAAAATACTTTTATGATAGATATCTTGTGTATGTTAAATTTTGAGTTAAATATTGAACTAAATAAAAAAATTATGTATATATATAATATAAAAAAACAGCTTAAATGGCCTGAAAAGTTTTTATTCAATAGTGAAATTTAGTATTTGACAGCGTACTTAGATGTGTGTATATCTTTGTAATTGTTAGTAAGGCAAAAGAGCTATACTTTGTCAATAATTAAACTTAGTTTTATGTTCATTTATAAATGACAGACCAGCAAAACGTTTGATTGAATATATTTAATGAGTTCATTATGCAATAAAAGGTTTAAGTGACAGGTTAAAATGAAAATGTTGAATGGAGTATAGTATATTACTGAACAATATATAAAATGTTGATGGGTTTTTTTATACACAATTGATAAATAGTACTAAATGAATCAGGTCCCATTAAATGTTACATCCTTGTACATCTATTACCAGAATTTGAAGTTACTATCATTTCATAAGTAAATGGGTTAATATTACAGAAACCCTCCTTTTAACAAGGGCTATTAGCTAGTCCACAATGAAATGTGTAGGTACCATAATCATGATAAAATTGAAATAAAATTATTGAAAATACATTTTGTTCCAATGATATTCTCAAGACTTAAATTACATGTGGTCTCATACATATATGAAGTTGCATTCACAAATTCCAGCCGGCAGTGTGAACCTTTGCACTGAACTTGGAATTTTTGTGGGTGGCAATAACTAGCGTGTAAACCAGTTATCAGATTTAAAAAACTAAATGTGGTTGATAATAAAAATAGGCACTGATTCACTCTTATAGTAACATGATTAATTATGAATGTGGTCAAACATTTTTAAGAAAATGATTTTTTCACATAAAACTGGAAAACATTGGGATATTGGTGTAAATTTGAAAATAAAGTACATAACAAATGAAGGTACTCATCAAATTTAATTCGATGAATGAAGGCAAAAAGCATTCTACATACATATGAATACATCTACTGTTTTTACAAACATCAAAAAATGTTAATGACAGGATGCAAGATTGCCATGCAATATTCAGCAGCCTCATAATGAATGAATGTATGAACATGAGGAAAGGATGATTTTTTTTTTTAAATTCAAACAGTCTGTTCAAAAAGATCCAATTCACACAAAAAAATGACATACAAAACCATGTCAAAAAGCTGGTCTGGATTTGACAACTCAGAAAAATAAGCACACAAATGAACTTGTAGCTAAACTCATGTTTGAAGAAGTAGCATTTTTTCTGTCATTCATTTGAGAGAAACCACATACTAAGTGCATTATAATGATGACCATCCAATAGAGCTGAAGTTGCTACTATAATGTAACATCTGCTAGCTATCAAGAACAAATACAGCTTAGTATAGAATGAAGCAATATCATTGTGTTAGCCAAAACAAAAATGTGTGCCATTCTTCATTAAAAAAAATAGCACTTTCAAATAATGACAGCATTTATCAATGATCATGAAAACTACAAGTATTTATTCTGATATGTAAAACAATTTTCTAAGGCAAACTGAATATGGTAAACAAATTTTGAGCTTAATTATGATCCACAATTGTTATTGTCTATTATAATATGTCGGTAATAAATGTTACAAATTAAATACATGGGACATTTAAAATATATTTTCAAATGACTCAAATTCAATGCAAAAATTATGTTTTGTTTTATAAATAGCCCACTGAAAAGAAATGAATAACTAATCATTATGCTTGATCTTCATTACAATACAAGTATAAGGTTACCACTTCTTTCAACAAATTTAAATAAATAATTTCAATCCTAATGCTAAAAAAAGCATTGGTGACTAAAATAAGGTAATTAAGAAATTTCAAGAAGTTTTATTGTTAGATTAAGAAGGAGACAATTATATCGGCTCCTGCTATTAGCACCTTTAAAGACTTGTTATTGTAAAGGTTTTTAACATTTAAATTTTCTATTTATAATTAATTTTTTAAAATAAGTAAAACAACTGTTACATTTATTCTATTTTGTTTTTATTGGTTTTAATTTTTAAATGACTAATTTAATATTTTATTAGATTATAAAATACATTTTCCTGCGCTGTCACTGGCGATACTTTTATCAAAAAAGTTTGAGACAAATCACTGATATAAGAAGAGGGGTAAAATTGAACAAACAAGATTCGACCACAAAACAACCATTGTGACCAAAGAAAATCTATGTACCAAGTTTTATAAAACTTTTACCCTTCCTATTTCAGCATAACACTTAATATTGAAATAGTTGTTGGTCTTCATTCTAAAGTCATGGACATTGTGGATGCCAGCTTGCATGGCAGTGAATAATTATCCACTTTTAAAATGATCTGATGTCAATTAATTGACAACTAAAATTGGTTGCATGACACAATAAAAAATAATGAAATGTTAGGTGCACACAAATATGTAAAATATATATATATAAAATTGCTTGTGAAAAGTATTACACAACAGTAGTACATGAAAGATAGAAAGTTAAAATCATTTTTTGAAAACTAGAAAATAGATGAGCTGCGTGTTGATTAATCTCAATCCAAGCAAATTCTAAAGGCTGGGTTTTCATATTAAATGTACTTTTTTAAAAGAGGGAATGTAAACCTTTTTTACAATAGTTTGAGTAGGCGGTGGTACATTTCTTTAAAAATTGGAATATGAGTGAGGTTTAAATTTTAAACAATATTTTCCAAAAAATAAAAAAAAATTTTATACAACATTTTGACTTACATAACTTCAACATAAATTTAAAAGAGGATAAAGTTTAACAAACTAGCCATTGAGAAAACAATCAGCTAAAGGTGAAGTTAGGAATAGCATCCCATAACACATCTGTTCAACAGATCAAAACATTCAATCAAAAATACCTTGACAACTGTTAAGCAAAATTTGGTTGTGTTACAAATGTTTCCAATTATTCAAATTCAAAATTTCATTTTTGTTAAATTTCAGTTGAGTATTGGTGGTTGACAGTTCATAATTAAAACATTTGCTTGTCCTTATTCTTTCATTCAAGTTACTTCACTATTCAGAATGTCATTTAAACAATTTTATTTTCGACTAGGCTGAGTCTCATCTTCAGTAGACATGTGGGAAAATTCTGTACTTGACTCTCTCACAATATTTGTTCCAGCTTGCCCCATACTTTTCCTGACATTGCTCGTTGTCTCTTCGCTCACGGTGAATGAGCAGCACAAGAAAGTATAATGGATAGAAATAGATCAGAATATGCCTAAAGCCTGGAAAAGATAAATGTGTTTGTAAATGAGTTTTCAACACAATTTTTATGAAATAATTTTTTTTTTTATTTTAATGCTTTGAGACCGCCAGGCCGGTAAACCGGCTTCAACATTAGGCATATATGTCCGAAAAGCCGGTTTTCCGGCCCGATGATCTAGCGTCATATTCCTAGCGGACGGTATACCGTCTAATTAATATAATTAGCGGAAGACTGGCTACAACTGCGCATGTCTTTTTAGTGCGTGATTATGATTCTAAAAATAGATTTTAGGAAAAGTGAAAGTGTTTACATTTCGTAGCAATGCCGCCGAAATGAAAAGCTGAGCCACAGCCATCGACATCAGCACATAAAGTTGGTGCAAAAGATGAAGCAAAAGACCGAAATATCAACAAAAGAAGTAGAATGACTGCATCTCAGGCAATACAACTACTTATTGATTCTGATGAAGAAGATAATATTCCTGGTCTATATTATGATGATAGTGACGTTGAATTTGAGACTGAACTCAGTGACATTGAAATTGACAGTGACAATGAAACTGTTCAAGTACGTTCTGATGCATGTGGTGTCAAGGACAAAGACTTGCCGAAACGAAAAAAAACAACTGTTTACTGGTGCAAAACATGCGAAGTTTTTCTTTGCATCGGGTCCGGCAGTGATAACTGTTTTGAAAGTTATCACACAAAAGTGGACTTCTGGCTATGAACTAGTATGGACAGGTATCAATAATAACAAAACAATTACTAAATGTAAATTGGTTTCTTCTATGTTCTATCAAAACAATAATTACGTGTTCGTTTTATATACATTGTTCTGTTCATACATTGTAATCAAATAAAGAATTTCAGAATCTTTCTGCTTTAATGTTTGATCCTGAGTCTGGATACCAAATTTGGCTTGATTATCTCAAACGGTTCAAAAGTTATAGGCAAAGTTAGAAGCAGATAAGTGAAAATTGGTTTGGCCATGGGAGCTCAGGAAATGGGAGAAATTAGGCCAGGGAGGCTAGGGCTCAAAGGGTTAAGCTATTAATAATTTAATTTTTTAGCAAAAAATAAAATTCAAGTCTAAAAGTAAAAATTAAGTAATCTAAACATTTTTTTTGGATAATCATAAGCTTTCATTTCATTCTTAGACTAAACCAGGGGTTGGCAACCTTTTGAAACACAAGAGCCAAAAGTTACAATTTTCAAAATTTCCCTGATTTTAAAGAGCCACTAACATTTTTTTTATTTCAAATATTTTATTTTTTTTATTAAGATTATAAGTATTTGTTCAAGGAGCTGGAGAGCCGCATCTTGATATCAAAAGAGCCGCATGCGGCTGGCGAGCCGCAGGTTGCCGACCCCTGGACTAAACGGTTGACAGAAAATAGCTGACCTGTAGTAAGTGACCAAGATAGTGCCATTATGAGATCGCCAAGATAATTAGGCTTTCTGCAGATTCCCCACCAGAGACCAGAAGTTTCTTGCCAGATTGAGTTGGGATAACATCCATTCCTAAGTCAATACAAATCATTCATTATTGTTTTTTTTTTAATATTTCTGTGACAAATAACACAATAAGGCAGCTTTTGAATATACAGTGGCATACAGTTACAAAATATTTAGATGGCTTACCCGAAAATGCATCATCTTTAGGATTATTCCTGAATCTGTTCTTCTGAGAATAGGACATTCTAAAAATGATATACCCCACGACTGGAGAGAGAAATGTATTATTCTAATTAAAGCACTGAGGTAGTAAATATTATAGCAAAATGTAAATTTAAATAGCCAACGGGGTAGTCATAACTGAGTTCCAACTGCCTGTATGGCTGGCAATAGAAAGTGAGGGGAGTTAATCATGGGATCTGTGTGGGATAAAGTAAATTTAAATAGCCAACAGGGTAGTCATAACTGAGTTCCAACTGCCTGTATGGCTGGCAATAGAAAGTTAGGGTAGTGAATCATGGGATCTGTGTGGGATAAAGTAAATTTAAATAGCCAACAGGGTAGTCATAACTGAGTTCCAACTGCCTGTATGGCTGGCAATAGAAAGTTAGGGGAGTTAATCATGGGATCTGTGTGGGATAAAGTGTTTCAAAGCCAAGACACAAGTTTGTAATATTGGGTTCTAGCATACAATACCACTACATAAAATTTGTTTCAATAAAAATGTAAATGTTGGCAAAGACAGATGTAAAAGAAAATATTGCTTCATAAACAATACAACAATATCAAGTTTTAACAAAGCATTTAGACTTACCATTTAACAAAGCTATAGGTGCCAAACAGTACCAAGGAAGAACAAACTTTGACTCTTGTAGGAATCGTGGTTGCAGACAATATAGGAAAGGCACCCAGGCAAGATCTCCAAATGCAAGCACGAATCCAAATCCATCATGAATTATATCCATTGTTCTGAGAATTGCATCCTAATTGAAAATTCATTTTTAAATTAGAAAAACAACATATGATCTGCCATAATCATAGTAAAGTTAAATAAACACTTGGGTTTGTTACTTTCAAAAAGCATTTTAGTTGATTATCTCAGTCAAAGTTTGCAAGATATAAGTAAAATAAAGCACTAACCTCAAACCATAGTGCATAAGCCACATATATTGTCTGAAAAACTGTTACCAAGAGCAGATTTGGTGGGAATGTCTGTGTTTCCTAATAAGCTTTGACAACCATTATCCAATCCATGACTACCCACCCAATCAAGCCTGGTCTTAGTTCACAGAAAAATTTAAGATCAAGATGTCCAATTCGTGGATTGAATTCACGGCCAATTGTAAATTATGTTTCCTAAAAATAGTCATTTGAATTTTTAAAAACATTTTTAAGTACTACGGCTATGACAAACTTTTAAGAAACTATTGGAATATTATTTATCCCGTATATTTTAAGAAAAAAAAAATGGACAGGTATAACATTCTAAGACTATTTTGCAACAGCATGTATGCCTTTGTAAAATTATTTTTACTATATTTTTAAAGTGTAACTAATTTGCATCAATCAAATTACCTGTAGGCCCTATTTCCTCCGGCAGCCAACTTCTGGGAACTAACAAAGGTTGATTTTGACAAATGCTGAGTATAAGCCTAAATATGATAGCCATGGTCATCAACTTATAGAACTTCTCAGTTACTTTGGTTACAGGACATTTGTAATAGACAGCAGCACCAAGCATTAGAAGACTAATAACCAGAGCAAAGAAACCTGGGACAAAGAAGATAGAAAACAATTAACCGTTTAAAGACATCAAAACAAAATCAAGTCTATTTAAAGTTTTCCAACAATCAATATTTTTCCTTAAAGTATAATTTTTATACCATTGCATCTGTATTTTAGTTTTCCACCAGATTTCAAAGGCTGTCAATCTACAACTTTTCCAACTGGCAATACAGCAAGAAAAGCTTGAAAAAAACCATGCAAGGTAGATCAGGGTCGCTCTAACTTCAAAAATACTAGTAATAGTTCGTGGGAGTCTTGGAACAAATGAGCACTGACCCTAGATAATAGTGGTGTGTAAATTATGGTCACTGATCAACAAATTATTTCATCTAAAAAAACTGCAATTTACGTACAAAATTTTTTAAATTTTAATTTAATTTTAAAACCAATGTTTAAAATATTTATTTTTTTCTAAACTCAGCCAAATGGTAAAGTACCTTGTCAACAGTTTGGTATAAGACCAGTAACGAAATTAGTCTTGTAAGCCAAGCGAGTATAGTGACAGAGTATTCAGTAAAAATTCAAAATTGTTAAAATTTGCCAATGTAATGTGTAATTAATGATTTGTATATTAAAACAGTTTTTGAAAAAAATATTAAAAAAAAAAAAATCATCCTTACCTAGCAGCAAGCAAAGTTAACATAATACACTTTTAATGGCAGAAAAAACAGAAGAAGAAAAGCTCCAATAGGACCCATGAATTCATAATGCGGTCCATTACTTGGCTTTGATTTTGCAGATGCTGGTTTTATTGGTGGTGTCTTGATATTGGATAACATCTCAGATTTCATTTGCTCTCTAAGGCAAAGTGAATCTTCCTTCTGATTAATAGAAAATAAAACAGTAATCATTGATATCAAATTATTTATACCACTGTATTTCTTCAACTGATAACCTCTGCTAATAAATGTTTAATACCTGAAAATAATAATCAGAGAAATTCTGACCTCTTTTTCTATTAAAGATGCAATGCGAGTTGAAGTTCTAACTGGAGTTACAGAAGCTTGCTCTTGAGAGGAAGATACATTAGAGTAAAAAGTGATAACAGAGCGCTTGGTGATGGAGGTTTCCTTTTTTTGTGCCCTAGCAGGTGATCTACTGCCAACAGGACCAACAATCAACTTTGAATCAACCTATTCAAAATAAACAAACATCAGGCAAGATATTTTTAATACATACGTCTTTTTAATAATTTGTTGTTAAAAGATTAAAAACTGATGTCAAATTTTTTATGTTTATACAATGGACATAGATTTAAACTTAAAGCAGCTTATTTTTAACTTATTAAAGTAAAAATAGAAAAATAGATTTTACCAAGTTTTTCGAGACTGTTTTTGTATCTTTAACACTTGAAGCTTCAGCTGCAACTACTTTGGCTTTCCTTCCTGCACTTCTGTTTTGGCTACGTGTTGATTTTGTTCGAGAGGCAGAGGTGCTTCGTCCTCGAGCTTTTCCACTTGCAGTGGACTAAGAATTTAAAATAGAATAGTAGATGTATAAAATATTTACAAATCTGGTCTATTGTCCCTCAATTTTGTAATAGTAACACAATCCAATTTTAAAATAGGTTCAACAGAACATTTTTAAAAGGTATTTCTCAAACTTGGTAGCGGACAGGATTGGTCATTGTTCAATTTGGTGTTCATGCCTATTGATACAATACCAATCCTATATGCATTATTGTTTTAAGTAAGAGGTAAAGTTAAACAGCACATTACTTTAGACATTCATGTAATGTATAGAAAATATAGTTCCACATCTATGGTATAAAATAATTAATAGTTAATGGTTTCTTAATTTTTAAAAACCAATGAATGCATAACAAAATTTTAACTTGACTACAACAAAAAAAAAACATTTGAATATTAGTTACTTAAAACTAAAAACAGCTTTCTTGGACTGGGCATGGTATTGGCTCAATTAAAACAAGTCTATACAGAATAAAAGAATAAAGAAAACTAGAAATTCAATTTAAAAACTGAATAATTAATAATTTTAAAAGCTGAAAATAATTAATTGGGACAAACAATAACACCTGTATTTCTGCCAAAAATATTTTATTGTATATATGTTGTTGTAAACACAAGATGAATAAAATGAACATTTTTAACATCATTGTTTACTTATACCAGTATTGTTATGTACCAAAAAGTTCATTAATTGAACAAAAAGGCAAATATTTTAATTTAGATGAATTGTTTACTGGTATTATTATATACAAAAGAAGAATAATGTAATTAGAAGGCAGATATGTTGATGTCAATATACAAGAAATCTTCAAAGCAAAATATTTTGATGAAATTTTGAGTAGCCTACCTACAAAACATTTCATTGTTTAGCTTTTCAAAGTAAACAATACTACAAATGGGTACAAATGAAACACTTTTAAGATGTTATAATGACACAGATGAAAATATGAAGCCTGACTTGCTCTGGAAAATAAGTCCGCTGCCAAGATGGATCTCAACTTGATGGAGGAGTTCAATCCAGTAGCACATACAATTTTTAAAGTTTTTTTTTTCAATTATGCATCACATTTGTTAAAATACTGTTCTTCTGTTCATCAGAAAAGATATGGAATGACTTGATAAGGAACAAGGGTGACATACTTACGCCATGCACGCCCATACACTTCCTGATTGCGTTGTGCACTTTTTTTTAACCATATAAACATGGTCCCATATACAACTAAAAGCACAACAAAAGCCAGTAAGCTGGAGTCTGAAATTAAATCAAAACAAATTCATTCAGTTAAAAAACTCATTTTACCGCCATCACACTAATACTATTTACAGTACATCTTTAAGAATTTCAACATTTTAAAAATGTAGCCTACATATTTTTAGTTAGATTTTATTAAAAAGATGACAATGAATCCAATACCAACTAGTTTTTATAATTATAGCATTTATAATTTACTTTATAATTTAACATGGCTGTACACTTCATAATTTTTTTCAGTAATAAAGCCATACTTTTCAGTAACCCATTTTGTGGGCGGATTGAAAACTTTTCTAACATGTGATTAACCTGTTAACAGTTTACTCAATAACAGTAGTCATACTAACTCCTTTACTTACTAAAAAGCTTTTTACAATGCACAGTAGCTATATTATATACACACTATGTACAATTTTCAAATTAAAGTTTTATGAAATAAAACACTGTAGCACTATTTAAGGCTTCTTAGAAGATAATAATCCAATACTATCATGCTGCTACCATGCTTTGATAATCTTTAAGCTTCTAAAGATTCAGTGTCAAGAAGAGCTCTCTGGCTCGTTTTATCTTACTGGCTGAATATTCTTTTGTAGTGAGCTATGTGTGATTTTTGACAAAAACAAGCAATGGGTTTGGATAGCTTCCTAGCCGTATGTGTGACGGATGATTCTATTTGTAAACAGGTTGATGATTCAGAAAGTGAATATGTGAAAAAAGATCTTCTCAGACAGAACCATCTTGAACTTTTGCATCGTATTTTTTGTTGCAACATGCGTCTACAAAGTCTCATTTGCTGTGCCAGATATTTATATCAGTAAGTTTTATCTGTCTGACAGTATGCGTAAATTTGTCCTTAATTGGATTGCTTATAAAAAAAACAGTTGTTTGCCCAGTTTGTCTCATATTTGTAAATATAACAAAAAATTTATCAGGTTCTTCACCATTAGAGTGATTATTTTGCCTATTAAAATTGTCAAGTTATACTAGTTACAAGCCAAAATGTACCATTTGGCAACCCTGATTTAATGCTAAAAAAAAATTTTTTAATTTAAACTCACTATTTTCAGAAAACATTTCACTAGAAGTACCCTTTATTTATAAATCAAGCTTTCAGGGTTAAATTAACATACCACAAGCAATTGTCCATGACAACCAAATGATCATGTAACCTAAGTAATCTGGCTTCTGTAACACACCCCAATATCCGCTGACTAGCAAGCGTTTTCCACTGTGAGCTGGGCCAGGAATGGATTTTAAATCTGAAACAGAATTTTATGTTTCTTTCTATAGGCTACTATATTGGCAAAGTTTTACAAGGAATGTTGCTATTAAGGGTTAACTAAATGAAGTAAAATTCTAGCTGATTTGTAAAAATATGATTAAGAACCGTTAAGGGTAAATCTTCCTATAACTTAAGCATAATATTTAAATATAAGAAACAGTTTTGTCATAGGAAAAATAACTGAACAAAATAACTTAAAACATACTTCTGTAAGACTGATGATCACTTAGAAAGTTTTCTTTCTGGTGAGTGGAACTTATGTTGATAACAAAACCGTAAACTGGGAAAGATCAAATACTTATTAAACTTGATACTCACTCTTCAATTCTGATATTAGCTACACTTACATAATACTTAAATACTTAATAAAATTAGCATTATTTGTTTTTTAAATGTTAACAATGTGACCAAAGGAGGTTGAAAGGGGGAAAAAAGTGTATGTTTGTAACTTACTAAATAAGACAGTATCAGCTAAGATGAACTGCCAAGATAATGAAGTCTCCACAGTAGCAACATAATAAACTGGCAGTGAGTGCAGGAAAGGAAGGTACATAAGGACTTGCATTAGCCATAAAAAGCCAAGCCCTTCAGTAGAAACGAATGGCCGCTTTCGCAAGTAAGACTAAAAATACACAGAAAAAAGTTATTGAACTGACAAAATTCTATTTAGGCTAACAGAACATATCACTTTAAAATCACAAAGAAAATGTGTTAATATTTTTATACAAAAATAAGTTCTTTACTTTACCTCATAAAGTAAGGTGTGGGCTATAAAAACATATTGTGTAAAAGCCAAGAAGGCCACGGAACAAGAAAAGGGTTGATTTATTGATACATCAAGAAAAATTATGAGATCAAGCAAAGCCCAAGCCACCATTCCAACATGCACATAGAAGAAATACTTGAGCTCCACTTGGCTTATATTCACATGTGTGTTGTAGCCATACAAAAATGCCATTGGGTAGCAAAAAACTGTTTTAAAAATACAACTATTAGTTATCCCGCACACATTTAAAATCAATTAACATTATATATGTTGATTTGTTGCTATAAGAAAAACATGTATTTAAAAAAAAAGTTAATTGACTTAAGTAATTTTAAACTGGAAAAAGCTTACAAATTTACCCCTGTCTTTTTCCAGGACTCCGATGATATTTAAGGTAAATACAAAAAAGCTAAAACCAATACAGAATGCTGTAGTTGTTGCAAACATTCGCAAGTATTCTTCAAATAAGAATCTAATATATTCTGGTTTTAGATAAGCTAGTATCAACATAATCATGGTAGCGCAGACTAAAGAGGCAAAAGCAGTTGATGCTTGTGGCTGGTCAAATCCTGTTAAAAAAAAATTTAAAGTGAGAAAAATTGTGAAATTAATGTACAGCAGATTGAGAAGACCTATAAATTGAAAATGCGCATGAATTAATGCAATGCATATATTTATATATACTAGGTCTGACACTCAAGGTAGCAGAAAAAAAATGTTTTATTTAACACTATGCATTATACCACTTTGCTTAGAATATGACCAAAACAGTTATTCACCAAAAAAATAATTCATGTTTTTAATCAGATGAACATTAAAAATTATTTTTAAAAAGCAACAATACCTTACAAATGTTCATTTCAGTGTAAGAATTTAATAAGAAGATAATCTTTACCGTTCCTATCTTTCAGATTAGCAGGTCTGGATGTAAAGCTGATCAAAAGCATAATCATTATGAATCCAAACACAAGTAAAGCAGCATACGAAGAAAAATATGCACTTGGGTGAGTTGGAACAACCAAAGAAAGTTGGAAGAGCACACACTGATTCTGTAAATACATTAAGGGCCTATAACATAGATTAAAAGAAAGATGTAGTTGAGGATAAGGATTACTTTTATCAATACTGAGTAGAAATCAAACAAAATTAACAAAAAAAAAGTCAGCAAGTTGAAAATACTTTTTTTTTTAAAAATAGAATGCAGTTTTTTTATATTACAGCTGGATAGTAGGGCTAATAATATTTTTAATGAAGTTAGACAAAATGTATTTACCTTAACACAAGAAAGAACCAGGTATAAAAGAAAAGGTGGCCCAATAATTAAGACCAACAGTGATAATAGTCTGAACTTGAGACTCTTGCAAGGACTATTTGTAATATCTCCATCATTTCTATCAGAGCGTAACTTCTGCTAAAAGAAAAAATGTATGACTTAATGACAAAGAACTTACATGTTAGCATTTAGAATAATTGTAAGTTAGTATTACAAACAATTCTACCACTCATGTGGTGGTGAAATACCTTATACTATTTTTTAACAGCATCAGCCTTAATATTAGGTCTCTAAATTTAATACAAATTACTACCTCGAGGGGAGCCATGTTTTGTATCTTTTTTTCTGTGTCTAGTAATTAGAATTTTTTAAAATAGGCATCTTTCCTGTTCATTTAAAAAAAAAAGGCTTGTAAGATGAAAAAAAAACATGAAAAAACATTTTTTAACTATGTAAGTAACAAAAAAGTATTAATTATCAAAAAATACTTATATGATAAAGATGGTAAAATACTTATCCAACAACTGCTTGTTAAGGCATCAACAAAAAGTTCCAATAATAAAATGAAACATGAAATTAACACAATCAAAAGAACGAAATTAAAACATACCATGATTTATTACAAAATGATCTTAATCTTAAAACTGCAAAAAGAAAAGATTTAAACAAAAACCACTACTATTTAGACCAACAGTATTGATTACATATATATGGCATGTTATCCAATAGCTTGCATAAAGTAGATATTTAACCTCAGAGAATTGAAGGTTGATTGGGATTGAAATATTAAACCATTAATTAAAACAAGCAGGTTAGAATGATAAATCTCACAAACTAATGCTTCTGTATACCTTGTTTAGTAAGCTAAACCCAACCTATTAATTATCGATTAGGCCTATTGCCAATTGTAGGATGTGTGATTTGTGCTGGTGGTGTCATTTAAAACTGCCTAGAATCTAGACCTAAATCAATAATTATTTAGTCAATATTTAACTTAATGCAACAAGCCCGCCGGTTGGTTAAGGCCGGGGTGTTGTTCTGTTAGGGTTACAAAAGGTTGACTCAAAATATCATCCCAGCTATGTTCATTATAGATCTAGATTCTTGTAGTTTGTAATAGACAATACCTAGTATTCTAGTAGGCTTTAGCATATTTCTTAAGGTTTTAATGTAGATTGTTAAAACTAGCTAGATCTATTATATTTTTTTATAACCTAGAATTTATTTTTACAAGTGCTTAAAATGACTACACCCTAGGCTAGCCACAGAGCTAGATATCTAAATTAAAGTTAAGTAGACTAAAATGAAAGAGTTATCTAGATTCTAGTACACGAGGAGTTTAGAGCTTTCTTAGGAGTCGCAAGGGGTTTTTTTAGGTGTCGCCAACACGAACAGCAAACTACAAATTTCACAAATTTGATTAGCAATGGAATAGTGAAACCAAAATGCATAGTATGCAAAGTTTATAACACGGCTAGTTAACATAAGAAACACAACTCTCACGCGGAAGCAAATCATTTAAATTACACCAAAATAATTATTTCAACTTATTTCATCACCATGAAACCAGTTAACGTCAAAAGACTTGATGGGGCAGAGTTTTAGAGCAGCTGTTTCTGTGATCTTTTATTGGATGTGCAAAAGCAAGATGACGTTTTGGTATACCTAACCAACAGCCAATGAATGATAGCAGTACTATATCTAGCAGCTATATTATTATTAGTACAGAAAAATAGGTTCAAACCCTGGAATTCAAAGAAAGAAACAGATAGTGACAGGGTGAGGTGGAAAAAGTGCCATGTTAGGAAAAACTGCACTGCATAGTAGATAACCTGCAGGTGAAATAAAATAAAATCTGAAACAGGAAAATGATCTCCATCAATACTTCTCTGTGCTGACAGAAGAAAAAGCTATCATAGATCTCACACAAAATCTATGATTCTCTACTGTGTTGATGTAACCAGCTTTCCTATGAACAAAATGAATTTTTTTAGATTTGCAGTATAATTTTTCAGGAAGGAAAAAATTTTTAAGGTTTAGTTCGTCTTGATAAGATCTATAATAAAGATCTATAATAATTAATAAGGGAATAGATCTAGAGTCTGGATCTAATCTAGAAGTATATAGGCCTAATTAGAAATAGCTAGATCTAGATTCTAGAGAGTAGGCCTACTAATACTAATGAATAACTCCTAATCAATTCGCAAATTCGGCGACACTAGTCACTAGATCTTACTAGATTCTAGATCTAGATATCAGTAATGTGCGGGAGAGGTAACTAATAGTAACTATAAACTATTAATAAATAATTTTAAAATAAGTAAATCAAATTTACAAAATGTAACAGATAATTGATTTAAAAATAACAATTAATGGCGAAAACAATCGAAAATAGCATGAAACTAACTAAGTTACTAAGATAAACAAAACCAGCAGCCATCTTTCCAAACAAAAATTAGAGTAGTTTCCCTTGAACATGACTGTTTAGTTTGTTTTTTTCCCACGTTTTCTTTAACTTGCATTCGCGTCTGTTTTTCCAATCAAATCTTGCGATCGACATTTTAAAAACTGTTTGAATGATAATTATTCATCTGGGGTAATTTTTGTCTTAGGCCTCAACTTTTTATGAGTTATGATTTTTGTGTTAATGAAAATAGGTTACTTTTGAATACATGGGGTTTTTTTGTGCTATTTTGCTTACTGCTTTCGTCAAGTTTTGATTTTTCAGTGGCCAATGTTTACCCCTATCTACCCACCATCCATTATTACAACAACAAAAACACACACACAATATAATATCTCAAAGTTCAACCCCCTTTTTTAAAAAAATCTAGATGGATCTAGACAGTGGCGTAGCGAGGTCGGGTGTCACCCGGTGCGGCACTTAATGGTGTCACCACCCCCAGAGGCATAGAGACCCTTCCCAGGGACAAACTTTCAAATTTTCGATTTGCACCCCCCCCCCCCTCAAACTTTCGATTCGCACCTCCCCCCCCCCCCCCCACCCCGGAGAAAAAAGTCCGGAAGAAACACTGTACTAAATGTATAAAAGTTGTAGATCTAGATCTATCTCATGACAATTCTAGATCTAGATGGATCGATCTAGATCTAGATTTAGAAATCTAGATCTAGGTCTCTAGATTAGTGACTTTTTTGTCAGTCACTTCAATTTTTCAATTGTTTAGCGGAGCGGGGTGAGGGGTAGACTAGGCCTAGATTTTCTAGATCTAGATTCTAGGTTAGTAAACTCAGAGTAAACTGATTACATTTTACTGGATTTTAAGACTAGAGTCTAGATTTAGATAAGAATCTAGATCTAGATTCTAGATCTCGTTGAATTTAGCGTAGACTAGGCCTAAAAAACTAACAATAGTCTAGATTTAGATCTCTAGATCTAGATTTCCAAATGTTTAAAACAAAGTCATTAGCTTTATCTGACATGTGTAATGCCGATTTCTTTAGTCAATATTTGTGATTACAACTAGATCTAGTCTAGACTGTAATCTAGATCAGATCTAGATCTAGATAACTAACTAACTGTAAACAACTTATATTTACCATAAATTGATTCCTTTGATCTGGTAACGATGCTTTTAGACGCTTGGCAGGCTGTGATTTCATTGGCTGCTCAATTTCAACAAGAAAATTACGTAGGCTAGGCCTAGGGTTCAAAGGAAAAGGCGGGGTTCCGAGCATGCGCACTAATTATTTAACAGATGGTAGCTGCAGTGAGGTTGATACAATTAGTAATAAAACAGATAGTGTTAGTTACCTCACAAATTAAAGACAGTTACAAGTACTATGGACGTTTCGACCCAAGGTCTTCGTCAGCACACAACAGTGTGGTTACAGATTAGACAAAGTGGCTCATGAGATGGCTCTAGGTGGCTCATGAGATGGCTTTAGGTGGCTCATGAGATGGCTCTAGGTACCTCGTGAGATGGCTTTAGGTGGCTCATGAGATGGCTCTAGGTGGCTCATGAGATGGCTTTAGGTGGCTCATGAGATGGCTTTAGGTGGCTCATGAGATGGCTTTAGGTGGCTCATGAAATGGCTTTATGTGGCTCATGAGATGGCTTTAGGTGGCTCATGAGATGGCTTTAGGTGGCTCATGAGATGGCTCTAGGTGGCTCATGAGATGGCTTTAGGTGGCTCATGAGATGGCTTTAGGTGGCTCATGAGATGGCTTTAGGTGGCTCATGAAATGGCTTTAGGTGGCTCATGAGATGGCTTTAGGTGGCTCATGAGATGGCTTTAGGTGGCTCATGAGATGGCTCTAGATACCTCGTGAGATGGCTTTATGTGGCTCATGAGATGGCTTTAGGTGGCTCATGAGATGGCTTTAGGTGGCTCATGAGATGGCTTTAGGTGGCTCATGAGATGGCTTTAGGTGGCTCATGAAATGGCTTTAGGTGGCTCATGAGATGGCTTTAGGTGGCTCATGAAATGGCTTTAGATGGCTCATGAGATGGCTTTAGGTGGCTCATGAAATGGCTTTAGGTGGCTCGTGAGATGGCTTTAGATGGCTCATGAGATGGCTTTAGGTGGCTCATGAAATGGCTTTAGGTGGCTCATGAGATGGCTTTAGGTGGCTCATGAAATGGCTTTAGATGGCTCATGAGATGGCTTTAGGTGGCTCATGAAATGGCTTTAGGTGGCTCGTGAGATGGCTTTAGATGGCTCATGAGATGGCTTTAGGTGGCTCATGAAATGGCTTTAGGTGGCTCATGAGATGGCTTTAGGTGGCTCATGAGATGGCTTTAGGTGGCTCATGAAATGGCTTTAGGTGGCTCATGAGATGGCTTTAGGTGGCTCATGAAATGGCTTTAGGTGGCTCATGAGATGGCTTTAGGTGGCTCATGAAATGGCTTTAGGTGGCTCGTGAGATGGCTTTAGATGGCTCATGAGATGGCTTTAGGTGGCTCATGAAATGGCTTTAGGTGGCTCATGAGATGGCTTTAGGTGGCTCATGAAATGGCTTTAGATGGCTCATGAGATGGCTTTAGGTGGCTCGTGAGATGGCTTTAGGTGGCTCATGAGATGGCTTTAGGTGGCTCATGAGATTGCTTTAGGTGGCTCATGACATGGCTTTAGGTGGATCATGAGATGACTCTAGGTGGCTCATGAGATGGCTCTAGGTACCTCGTGAGATGGCTCTAGGTGGCTCATGACATGGCTCTATGTAACTTATGAGATGGCTCACGAGATGGCTAACGACATTCCTCTAACACCAGGACACTAGGGCACATATTGACACGAGTTTCTCATCAATCTTAGCTCGTGTCGCGCAACCCAAGCATCTAAAAATAAACTGGAATGGTCGTGACGTTATGGTTGATATGAGATAGTGGTGTCGCATTTCTGTTACAGAATCCACCAACATAATCCACTATAAAAGACAGTAACTCACCCAAACTTGAGTCTGAAAGACTAGCAAACGTATTGGTGACGTTAGATAATGACGTGTCAGTAGTGACGTCATCAGTTACGAGCTGCGGGGAGTGGGGGAGGATGGGGGTGGTGTATTTGATTTCATCTCTTACAGAAACTCTTCAAATGGGGTAGTTGTGTAGTGTCTCTAACTATAGGGGGGGGGGAGGAGATGTGCGGATAATTATGCAATAGTTTTATTTTGTTGGATTATGGAGGGGAGGGGGGGGGGGGGTAAGCTGACAATAGTATTTGTGCCAAAAGCTGGCCATATCACCAAATATGGCCGTCATAAAAAACCAACAAAAGTTGGCCATATTAGAATTAAAAACCTCCAGCCAAATTTGTCTGTGTGATAGTAGCGTAAACTTTAAATCTGGAGAGTGAGCAGTTTGTAGCAGAGCGCCACCTAGACATTGTCTACCTACCAACGTATCAGTAGAGCGCCACCTAGACTTTGCCTACCAACGTATCAGTAGAGCGCCACCTAGACTTTGCCTACCAACGTATCAGTAGATCGTGGGAACCCTGGGTCAAGAGGAGCGCGGGGGTGGCCGGGGGTGACTGGGGGTGACCGGGGGTGGCCGGGGTGACCGGGGGTGGCCGGGAGTGACCGGGGGTGGCCGGGAGTGACCGGGAGTGACCGGGGGACAGAGGATATATCACGTGTAGATAAACATGATGGAGCTTATTAACCGACCCAAAGAGCCGGCGTTTTTTTTTTATATTTCCGGCACCACAATAGTCGAGTTAGTAAAGAAAGACACGGCGCTTTACTGTGGGTTGGTGTGTGTGTGTGGGGGGGGGGCATTTTCCCAGGGATGAACTTCCGTGTTAAGTCTAAAGACAGGTACTGACGTGGGAAGTGTTAATTAGCGACCAGTTACCTCGCTAGATAAAGATGAGTTACCTCGCTAGATAAAGTTACCTCGCTAGACACAGTTTCCTCGCTAGATAAAGATGAGTTACCTCGCTAGATAAAGTTACCTCGCTAGATAATGATGAGTTACCTCGCTAGATAAAGATGAGTTACCTCGCTAGATAAAGATGAGTTACCTCGCTAGATAAAGTTACCTCGCTAGATAAAGATGAGTTACCTCGCTAGATAAAGTTACCTCGCTAGATAAAGTTACTTCGCTAGATAAAGTTACCTCGCTAGATAAAGATGAGTTACCTCGCTAGATAAAGTTACCTCGCTAGATAAAGATGAGTTACCTCGCTAGATAAAGTTACCTCGCTAGATAAAGTTACCTCGCTAGATAAAGATGAGTTACCTCGCTAGATAAAATTACCTCGCTAGATAAAGTTACCTCGCTAGATAAAGACGAGTTACCTCGCTAGATAAAGTTACCTAGCTAGATAAAGATGAGTTACCTCGCTAGATAAAGATGAGTTATCTCGCTAGAAAAAGTTAGCTCGCTCGATAAAGACGAGTTACCTCGCTAGATAAAGTTACCTAGCTAGATAAAGATGAGTTACCTCGTTAGATAAAGATGAGTTATCTCACTAGATAAAGATGAGTTACCTCGTTAGATAAAGTTACTTCGCTAGATAAAGTTACCTCGCTAGATAAAGATGAGTTACCTCGCTAGATAAAGATGAGTTACCTCGCTAGATAAAGTTACTTCGCTAGATAAAGTTACCTCGCTAGATAAAGATGAGTTACCTCGCTAGATAAAGTTACTTCGCTAGATAAAGTTACCTCGCTAGATAAAGATGAGTTACCTCGCTAGATAAAGTTACTTCGCTAGATAAAGTTACTTCGCTAGATAAAGATGAGTTACCTCGCTAGATAAAGATGGGTTACCTGACTAGATAAAGTTACCTCGCTAGATAAAGATGAGTTACCTCGCTAGATAAAGTTACCTCGCTAGATAAAGATGAGTTACCTCGCTAGATAAAGATAAGTTACCTCGCTAGATAAAGTTACCTCGCTAGATAAAGACGAGTTATCTCGCTAGAAAAAGTTACCTCGCTCGATAAAGATGAGTTACCTCGCTAGATAAAGTTACCTCGCTAGATAAAGATATGTTACCTCGCTAGATAAAGATGAGTTACCTCGCTAGATAAAGATGAGTACCTCGCTAGATAAAGATACCGCGCTAGATAAAGTTACCTCGCTAGGCCCCAGAGACAAATTACAACACTATCACCTCAGCGTAACCATGGCAACGCTTGTCCCTCGAGCTCAAAATGGCGTCGCTCTTCTACCTTTAGCCGAGGGAATCTGGGCGAGCCCTGGTCAACAATCACCTAGTGTAGTGTGGGGGAGGGTGGGGGTAAACAACCGTACTGTCGGACAGTTAGCGAAGACAGGACAGTACTGTGGGACAGTGTGAGGGTGGGGATGTTTACGAGGTGGTAACGAATCCAATAACACAAGTTCAAATATAAAATGTTCTTTATTGAAATTATAAAATCAAGTTCTACCTAATTAACTAGCTTATTCTATACTCTCTACTACTACTACTGTCTGCCGTTTCCTAGATCTACCTATCTGACCGTTCTCTTCACTAATTATCAACTGTTATCTAGCCCTACACATCTCGACCGTCTCTGACCGCTTCCTAACACCTACTCCACTCTTCACTAGCTACCTATCAACTGCCGCTAATCTCTCTACTGACCCACGCCTCAGCGGTCAGCTGACCATCCCACGTGACCGGCCAGTTCCCGTATTTTTATTGGTCTCTCCCTGACCAACTCGCTATAGCCTGCTTCTGCTATCTACCTGACCTCTCCGACGCAACCTTGCGTCACCACAGACAGTTAGTGAGGACAGGACGGAGGTGATATTGGGGAGAGTTATGAGATGCAGTGGCGTAGCGAGGTCGGGTGTCACCCGGTGCGGCACTTAATGGTGTCACCCCCCCCCCCCCCCAGAGGCATAGAGACCCTTCCCAGGGACAAACTTTAAAATTTTCGATTTGCACCTCCCCCCCTCAAACTTTCGATTTGCACCCCCCCCCCCTCAAGTTTTCGATTTGCAACCCCCCCCCCTCAAACTTTCGATTTGCACCCCCCCCTCGAGTTTTTCTCTATATATTTTGCTATTTTTTGCCTTCGTGTCACCCCCCTAAATGGTGTCACCCGGTGCGGTCCGCACCCCCCGCCCCCCCTCGCTACGCCCCTGATGAGATGCACACCGGGGTCAGCCTTTGAACGTGTCGTCTGCCCGGATACTGCACGGATTTAAAAAAAAACCCAGCGTGCACTCAGGGTCATGGGTTTCAGATGGACCGTGGCATTCCTTGGGTGGGGCAGGT